AACAACACGCAGCAGCAGCAGCAGGGTGGACGGAAAGCGACAAAAAGGGAAGGGAAAGGGCAAAGCGAAGGACAATACCGCGACGACCACTCAGACAGTTAATACGATACGCATAGTCGATGTACCACTTGTAGCTAAGATCGAGGAAGAATCTATCTCTGTTTCTCTTTATGCTACGGGTGTCAAGTCTAAGTGGATGGTTGACAGCGGTTGCACAACACATGTCACACCGTACAAAACTGACTTTATTCGGTACCATGAATTCCCTAAGCCAGGTCATGCACACACGGCCGGTAAAGGTCAGACTATCGAAATCAAAGGTCACGGTGAAATCGCTCTGCAACATCCTCTCACAGATGGACGAATTCAGCATATCCGGTTAGAAACCGTATTATACGTACCGGAAGCAGCAGAACGGTTCTTTGCGCCCAGAATGCCTCTCAATAACGGTCACCGTATTGAGATGGATGGCAAGAAGTTTAAGTTACTCCGCGGGTCAGACCCAACACAGCGGACAGTTTTAATGGAGGGCGAATATGAAAAGTCGTCAGGTTTATATTGGCTAGAAGCTGAAGTCCTCACCAGGACCAGCGAGATTAAGCCAGGAACATTAATGTCGGTCAAACCCGACGATCCATATACTTTGTGGCACCGTCGCTTCGGACACGCCAGGAAGAAATCAGTTGTTCAACTGCCTGGCAATGTCAAAGGCGTCCCGGATAAAATCACGGCACCAACCAAGGATACTCCCTGTGATGGATGCGAGTTCGGGAAGTCTCGTCGCGATGCATTTCCTGCGTCTGACAGTCGTGCGGATCATCCCCTCGACTTAATACACATGGATCTTGTCGAATATCCGTCGTTATCACTCGACGGGTACAAGTTTGCCCTTACCACCCTCGACGACTATTCCTCATTTGGTTTAGTCTGGTATCTGAAACGGAAGTCTGATGCCTTCTCTGCCTTCAAGCAATTCGTCGCTTGGGCGGAAACACAGGCCGAGCGCAAGCTCAAGGCTATACGTTCGGACCGTGGGGGGGAGTTTTTAGGCCGCGAATTCGACGATTTCCTAGCAGAACGCGGAATAGAGCGTCAACTCTCAGTGGCGCGAACACCACAACAGAACGGCAGAGCAGAACGCTGGCAACAGACCATTCAGAATAAGGCAAAAGCTATGCGACATCACGCTGGCATGACGTCTGGGTTCTGGAAGCTAGCATTGGAAACAGCAGTACATATCTATAATCGACAACCTCTGCGCCATCATCAATGGAAGCCACCCATCACTAAATGGAACGGCACTGTTCCGGACGTATCGTACTTTTGAGTATGGGGCTGCAAAGCCTACGTCCACACACATAAGGATGCGAGGGTCAATAAGCTACAGCCAAAGGCTAAAGTGATGATCTTCGTCGGGTATGAAATCGGTACAAAGGGTTACCGATTCTGGGATCCAACTGCTCGGACCATCGTTGTGTCACGCGACGTCACTTTCGATGAATCTTCCTTCCCCAAGCGAGACGAAAGGCCTCGTGAGCCTGGAATGTCTCAAGATCCACTTCCACCTGTTCTACCCGACCTGCTGAACCCGGACCCTACCAGTCCGGATGACTTCACACCTGATAATCAATCCCCAGACAACGCACATCCACAACCGCGGCAAGACGAACCGCAACAAGAGGATGATGACGAAGTCAATGACGATCCAGCCGATCGTTATGAACAATATCGAAGCCCAACTCCGGAACCATACGAGCATCCGGAGATACCGTTTGTTCCCGGTCCACCTCCTGGACAACCTCCACCACAGAGAGAACAATATCGTCCTCGTCAGAGCGGACCACCCGGTCCATCTCGTCAGGCAGCGCCACCTGCTCCTGATATTAGGCAACGATGGAATCTCGAACCACAACCTGTGCCGCATCCGGCCAGACCACAGCGAGAGAATGCAGGCCAACGCCGTGTTCCCGACAACAGCTATGGTGACGTCCCGCCCACAGAAGCATGGCGTCAACAGGAACGAGATATCCAACGTGATCAACGAGAAGAACGAGAAGCACGTGAACAACGTGAAAACTCTCCAATGGAAGTCGACGATCAACTCTGTCGGAATTTATTCCAATGGATATGTCATGCTTACCAGCCTGACCCCACTACGTACTGCGAGGCAATGTCTCGCCCAGATGCGAAACAGTGGGAGATCGCGATGAAAGAGGAACTCAAGTCTCAGGAGGAGAATTCTACATGGATTCTGGTCAACAGACCAAACAACCGGAGAATTGTAAAATGCAAATGGGTTTATGTGATCAAGCCCGACGGCCGCTACAAAGCACGTCTTGTGGCCAAAGGATTCACACAGATAGAGGGGATAGACTTTCAGGAAACCTTCTCTCCCGTCGCACGCTATGAAGCTATACGCTTCTTACTCGCACATGCCGCACTCGAAGATTGGGAAATCGAGGCAATGGATATTAAAACGGCCTTCCTGTATGGCGAGCTCGACGAGGAGATTTACATGGAACAACCACAAGGCTTTGTGAAGAAAGGACAAGAAAAGATGGTGTGTCGATTGAAGAAGGCAATTTATGGTCTACGCCAAGCCTCACGCACCTGGAACGAGAAGCTACACACTACGCTACTCGAGAATGGATTTAAACGTACGCGCTCAGACGCTGGCGTTTATGTTTATCATCACGACAAAGTCGAAGTTTACCTCATAGTTTACGTCGACGACCTTCTACCAATAGGTCCAAGTTTACCCGAGATCCAATGAGTGAAGAAAGTTCTTGCAGAGAAATTCCAAATGCGAGATCTTGGAGCCGCTAGTACATTCCTCGGAATGCGGATCACTCGTGATAGAAACAACAGGTGTCTGGAAATCGACCAACAGTCGTATACCGAAGGAATCCTATCTCGTCCAGA